ATATAGCGTGGCGGGAAATTATAACGGACCATTATCTGTGCTTAGATGAGCTTTGTTGCACACAACTGGCACTTTAGCTTAATATATAGTTAACTTTAACAGTTAACTGAGACTGACGACCTCAAGTACCTATTTTCTCAAGGAGTTATTGAAAAGTAACTGCAAATATCAGTAAATTACTATTCCCCATTAAGGTGTTTTGAAATTTTATTAAGATCTTAATAAATTGGAATTGGAAATCTGCAGAAAAACAGAGTTTACAATGATGGCAAAGATAATTTTAAATTACTTTTAGAGATGAAATAAATTATCGAACGAAAGCACTACAATAATATAAATTAACTATTGACATGAGGTAAATAACTCATTTAATTATACATGCTCGTACTGTAGTAAACTTTTATTATAGCAAAACAAATTTATAATTCATTTTCTTTTAAAATCAATTACTCAAATAACCATTTAATACAGGAGCCGACATTAGATAAGTAAAATAAAGTAGACATCTTGCCTAGTATTATTGTCAAGTTTTTAAATGCCCTATTATAACGAACATTAAGCTATGCAATCTTAAACTTTTATCTATTAAGAGTTCATTAACTTTCAATAAATTTGAAGGTTCAATAATTGTAAGTGAAACAAATGCGATCTTGTAATCATGCAGCTTGTAAACTCAGCAACTAAATTGTTCAAATCATTGATTAAAAAACAATTTATTGAATTTATCAAAAAAAAAAATACTAATTTTTTTTTTTGCAATTTAGCTATGCATTATGGTTAATAGAAACGTACATATGATTAGCTATGCATTTATTTATGTGTGTAGCTACTTTTGTGCCACAAAAAGTTCATTAAGCTTCATTTTATTTATTTCAAGTACATTGAAGTATCTTGCCGCGTTTTCAAGGTATTTGAAAGGAAACGATTTAGCAGTGAAGCAGCCTTTTATCTATCTATGCAATAAGCAATAACATAAATTTATACAAAAAATTTTAAAACAAAAGAGTTTGACATACAAATTGTTATCATCCGTTTCTCGAAACTTTGAAGTTAGAAGTACTAAACGAGTACGAGTATCGCAACAATTTTCTAAGCTGGCAACTGCTACTCTATCTAGACAGGCATATAAAATTTTCTGTGCTATTTTAGTTAAAACTTGTGAAACTGTTGCAATGCCTTAATTAAAGTTACTAACTTAAACAGTTTCAAACTATTATTTTACCGCTCGTTTTAATACCTTCGACTGCTGAAGAAGTGAAGAAGTGAAGGTACGAGTACTCGTACACATCAAATGAACCCAAAACTTGAAATGAGACCAGCAATGATTGCAGCTGTGGTAGCAGCATCAAGCCCAAAGTGACCTCAATCGATTGCCAGATTTCTCTTGGTATTTTATTGTTGTCGTCTTCTTATTGCTGCTTGACTTTGGTTGTATTTGTTGTTGCACTCGGTTTTTATGCGCTTTAGAATACGAATTTTTGCATGTCTTCTGATCTTCCACTTCTGCTGGTTAGGTTAATGTTGTAAATGAGTTATGAGTGGAGCTCTTCTTTGGAACTATGAAGAATGGTTTTTATGTAATCTTTTTATTACATGTTCAAAATTAAATTTTTTTGGACTCATTTTAGTGAAATTGGAACAGTTTAAGTTCAAAACATTTATTTTTAATGAATATTAAAATGCACAAATAAAACTTTTGAATTTGTCTTATATTTCCTACAGTTATCACCACTTATTTAAAAATAAATTAAAAAATAATTCAAAAATAGTCACATATAACTATTACATATATATTTATTTTCGAATATGTTTGGTCTACAACTTTTTACTCATATTTACGTTCATAATATTAAAATATAACAGAAATCCAGTTACCAAAAACAGATATAACGGATATAACTTATAAATGAAAATGATACATTAAGAACATGATATAACTGAGAATAACACCGATATCTGTATATCTTAAGCAAGATATATACAAGTGAACACCCATAGGAAAGGATAGCGTTTCTAAGAGAAATTAATCATAAATAAGCATTCCACAGAGATTTGTTCTAAGTTCCTAAATTTATTTTTCATCTACATAAGAATTATGTTAACTATAGATAATTATATAAAATTTGGAACTCTATTTGTAGAACTCTAATATTAAGCACTCTATATATCATTCATAATACATTTCTTGTTAGGTAAGTTAAAGGTATGTTCCAAGTAACTTAAATACGATATGGACATATAGTTAGCAACTATTGATTGATATATACCATGAATTATGATAGATTTAAAATCGTCTGCGGTCTACGCAAAGGAATTCTATGTATTCTTTTGAACGGCGCAGAGGAAAAAGAAAGAGCACTATGTTCACAATCTAAATCTTAATCACAATCTAAAATACTTTTAGGGACTTACAATCTGAAACGCTTCAAGGATTGCATAGAATAAACAAAGAATAATCTAAGATTTATTACGACATTACTAACCGGTCACTGTAGATTGAATAATCACCTAACAAAGTTAGGAATACGATCTAATACAGACTGCAGATACAGTAAAGAAGAGAAGGAAACCGCATATCATGTGCCGACACTGATCCCCAAGCGAAAGAAATATCTTGGAGAGTATTTTATGGAACATAAGGATTCAAGTCTAGGAAAGACAATCCTATACTGTCTTTCATTAAAGAAATCGAACTTGAAGAAACACTCTTATTCGACTATGGAGCACAATAGATCTTTAAGCCGCAATGTACTATCCCTTTTATTTTATTGATTGCAAGAGATCGTAAGTTCATGAGACTGTTGTATATTACAAACACTTATGGAGGTATTTTACATTTTAGTACAATTATACATCCGGTCAAATTCTTTTGGTAGCTTTGTTTTTTTTTCAGTTATTTTGTACTTAACCGATTTATTTCTGCGTTATTCAAATAGTGATGAGATTGTGTTTATCATTTTATATTACATGAAATAAATTTTTATCAAATGGTTGTTCTATACACATATGTCAGACCTGGAATCTTCTTAGCCATGTAGAAGTAAGTTGTTCACTTGAAATTAAGTTTTTTGATAGAATTCATCTTCGACTTCATCATAAATATATGATGATATAAATGAAGATATAAATTTGTGTAAATATTTTTATGGATTTACACAAGTTAAATCCACCACTATACTCCATAATCGAATGGGAAGTCAGCTGCGTGGACAGCAGCCGGTATATTCTCACCTAAGCAACAAATAACTGAAAAAGTTATGGCCTTTGAATTTTGAAATGTTACTGAAATTTTCTTCACCGACTATCTTGAAAACGACTATACTATCAATAGCGATCGCTACAGGGTCCAAATGGTGTATTTGAAGAAAAAAATTGCGAAAATACGGTTTCATATGAAAAAGAAATAACTCCTTTTTCACTAAGACATTATACCGTGTATTAAATCGTGGTTAAACCAAGATTAAATTACATATATTACACCTCGAATTGCAAGTAATTTGATCCTCAGCGATTACTACTTGTACACAGACCTCAAAAAAATGCTTCTGGAAAAATGATTTGGTTCCAATAAGGAAGTAACTGCCAAAACTGAGGTATAATAAGAGAAGTATCGAAATATGGAGAAGCGCTGGAATGATTGTATTACTCTTGAAGGAGTAACACAGTTAAATTTTGACAGTTAAATTTTGTCAAAAAGTTATTGTTTCATTGGTTTCCTACGAGCTTATCAGTCGACGTGTTATATTATTTCTGTGATTTATTACATATCTTCCATTATTTTTCATAGCTGAACTGTACTCCGAGAAACTTTTATCGAATTCTAATGCATTTTTAATAAATTTTTTTGTTTAAAATTATTTGCCAGTTTCTATTAAGTAAGCTTTCAAGATAATTTTATCTATAGAAAGTAAAAAAATATATTGTATTGAATAACAAACCCGTTTATCTTTCAACGACACTGCTTTTCTTTATTGTAGGCGCAAAAGAAACTAGTTCGTCCCACTGTGCGATATGTTAATGGTGTACCTATCGATAATATACGTATAGCATTAGGTAAACATTTTAAGCTTTTATTTTTATATTATTTTTAAGTTTTTGTTTATATGACAAAGTAAAGAACTTCAAAATTAGCACTAAAACTGTACGCAGACGCAGAAGAATTATAAATTTAAAAGAGTGAAGCAAATAAATCCATTTAACGAGTGCTTTTTAAAACAAAATAAATTAGCAGAAGTAGATAATAACAGCGAAAATGAAGATGACGATGATGATAATGATGGCGGTGGTGGTGGTGGGCAGCAGCTGTGACAGAATTTTAATGTACAGCTGCGTTGTCAAATGCCGCTTCATGCAACAACAACAATGACATATAACGTGTAAAAATATTACATAGACACACTGACAGGCGCTGAGCTGAGCTGAGCTGAGCTCGTCAATGCGGCAAAACAACAACTTTTTCCGTAAATGAGCTTGGCAAACTTAATTAAAGGTAAATTTGCGCTTGGGGGGACCGAAGACCGAAGTGAACACAACTCAAAAAAGCGGGTTTAATATTTATGTTTTTTAAGTCAAAAAAAATTTTTTTCGTTTTTTGTTTTTGTATTGTATATAATATGTTTATTAATTTATTTCTTTTATTTTTATATTTTCTTTCGTAGGTTTTTGTGTGCGCTTGTTTTTGGACTTTGCTTTTATATTTGCATGTGTATTTGTGTATGTGTAGTTGATATGTAGTCGCTAATACTTTGTGTTATTGTAGCGAGCTGTTTAGTTTTAAAATTAAGCTTTTGCTGCTGCCGTTTTTTTCATTTTTTTTTTTTAACCACAAACATAAACACGAAGTACAAAATTATTAACAAATACACACATTGATACACACATTCAGATACATAACACCTCAGTGAGTTTGTATGTGTGTCGGTTTGTATGCGAACATGCAAACAAAACAAAAACGACAACAAAATGATTTTGAAATCTGGTAGAAAAATCTCATACCGAGCCAGCTTACACCTTCAGACGTCGAGTGGCAGTCGAACTATTAAGACGTGCATTACGGACTCTGCAAGCTTTGAAACCCAACAAGCAGCAGCAACAACAACAACTACTAATACCAACAACAATTCAGTTTAAAATCAACTTCAATCTCCTTTTACTTTTCGCGTTACCATATCCGCAAACGTACATGTATCTTTAAGGTACAACAACGTTAAAACTTTCCTTAAGCGCACAATCAAATTAAACTGTGATAAATATTTTCCGAAAATTGTGAAACAATTCGAAATAAAAATATTTAAAAAATTTTTATTGAAACAGAACTGTGACAAATTAAATTGTGATAATAAATTTTATGAGAACCAAGTGAACGTTTGTTTTCACTATAAAGGAGTTTTTTTATTGAAATATTTTCATTAATTTGTGGATTAATAGCTCATGACCGAGAAGGATAACGTCTCAATGGCAACCGTGCAAATGAAACCAGACTATGCTGCTAGCGAAGTCTACAGCACCGCGAGCGAGGCTCCACCGGTAAGAAAAACTTACAATTAGTGCAAAAAATAATACTTTTTTTTTTTCAAATTAAAAAAATTAAGTGGAACACTTTTAATTTTAAGTCAATTAAACTGGTTAATTTTACTAAAATTTTTCATAGCAAATGAAAATTTTTTTCTTAATATTTAACACATAACATTTGTCGCTGTACTAAAAAAAAATCTGTGAGTTTCGTACTTTTAATTACATTTGAGTTAACTTTCAGCGTCATTAAATATAAACCAAAATGTATATATATTCTTTGCTCGAGCGCCCGTAGAAGCCACTATGTCTTAGAAACTCGTTAGTTTGGTAAGCGCGTCTTGGCTGCGGCCTCAATGCATTTCGCTTCATCGTATCTGTCATTTCGGTTTTGCCTTCACTTTTGCTGTAATTATCATAGCCAGCCGCAAGCTGCAAATCTGGGTTACTGTGTTGCCTCTTCTGGGCTGTGCTACGGAGGCGAGGTCTTACGCCTAAAGCCTTAAGCAACTTTTGTGTTTTAAAATCTTGAGATTTTTTCTCCTCTGCATTGGCTGCATGCGGTATTTAGTAAGATTTCGACAGTATCTGATGCGAGTATCTGGTTGTGTTAGTCATAATTGCAACGTTTTGTGCTTATTGTAGCGTAAAACACTAATTGCCATTGTAAAATCCACACCGTTTTGACTAAATACTCTCAATTATTAAAATTGTTAAACTCTAATAATTTGTTGTTGATGTGCTTGAAATTATTTTAAATATTTACTGCGGTCTTAAATTTCAATAATTTCATTTATTCAAAATATTTACAAAAAACTAAAAGCACTAAAATGCTTTTCTAGTAGATATTATAAGAAAATATTAAATTTTATTTAGTTTTAAACTTCAACACTTTAATTTATTTAAAATATTTAAAAATCAAAATTAAATATTTATATTTTTATATAATACATATTAAATGAAAATATTAAAAATATTAAAAATTAAAAGAAAATAAATTTATTTTAACCCAAGTTGTATCTATTTATAATAATTTACTTGAGTTGAGATAAGTTTTAAGAAAAATTTAAACATTGAATACAAAATCAAAGTATTAAAAGACTTTTACATATTATTAGGAAATATTAAAAATATTATAATAATAATGAATTTTAAAAATTAAAAGAAAAAATTTTAAATTGTGAATTTTGAGTTTGTTTCTCGACCTGGTTTTTAATATTTTTTTTTATATATTTCAATTTTAATTTTTAAGTATAATTTAAATTTTAACAAGAAATTGAATTCATTTTTATATTTTTTAAAACGACATAAAATTTAAAAAAATTTAAAAATAAAATAAAAAGAAATTAGAATGATTAAACCAGCACTATAGTTAACTATAGTTAAAATTAATTTAATTCCATTTACTCAATCATTAACCGTATTATGTAAATGCAACATCCTTTATAATATGTTATAAATAAATTAGATGTATTAAAAACTTAAATAATAAAATAAGAAACGGATCTAAAGGAATAAATTCAAAACCAATGAAGATCAACATATTTTTTTCCACATCATATTTTTTATAGTTTATATAAATCACTGTGCAATAATGCTAGTACTATATATAAACTATATATAAAAAGCATATCTACAGAAAAGTGTGGTTACAAACTATTTCATTAAATCTTATATACTCTTTTGGTTCAGCTTACATGGAGCTTACAGGGACTATAAAAATTAATTTTAATATAATAGTGAAGTTTTTCAGATAACTCAGCTTAAACCCATTCAATCGCAATAACTTTGTATTTCCTTATTATTAAATTAATTCAAATTATCTTTAGCAACTATAAATAGTATATAAAATTACAAAATAAAAATATATATATACCATATATATAATTAAAATATTATCTGTCTTAAAAGATTCATATATTGTATACTATAATTGAGTATATATTACATATATAAGGCATTTTTGATTACCTATAATTTAGTTACATTGACCATTCTATACATCATCCACATAAAATTATCTTAGTGGAATATTTAGTCCTTTTTAGTTATAGTTTGGCTTTATTTTGATTAGTATTTTCTTTTAGCTAGTATTATTTCGATCTTGGTATAGCAATTTTTTTTACTATATCAGAACTGAGAACTTACTACTTAAGTAAGTAAACTTACTTACTTAAACTTTTGCAATCCATATATCTCTTGTATCTCTTATATAAAACAATTGAGCCGAATTTTCAATCAGTAATTTATCTTAATTAAGAAAAAAGTCTATAGAACAGCCCATTTCCTTTAAAAAGTTCTTGCTAAATATCCTTTATTGAGTATATTTTTAGAATTCGACACTTTTGTACTTCTTATAAAAAATAGCCTTATTCAAATGTTCAATTTGAGTTCATGCAATAAAATTTTTCGATTATAATATCAGTATCATCAGTATCTATAGAACAGTGTACGCATTATATAACCATTTGTATCATTATCCATTTGTACGTATTCATAAACTGGTGTAAGTCAAATTATAGTTTTCAATTTCGGTTTATTAGAAGCAACCTCTATACAACTACCCTGACTTATTGCTATCTATTCTTAAGCATTTCTTGTACCTTCTTATAAAATAGTTTACGTCAAATTATTAGGTTTCAATTTAGGTTTATTTAATACCAACCTTTGTAGAATAATCCACTCCCTATCTAAAATTCTTGCTATCTATTTATTGATACTTCATTATCTTTAGGGAGATCAACATTTATTTTTGAGATTTTATAGAATGTATAGAATGCTATAGAATATAAAATTGTAATAATTAACTATTATGCTATTTCATAATATAGTTCGATATATATACATGTGTATATATATCTCAATAAACAAATATCAAAAGAATTCAATCTATATTACAGACTAGCAATTTATTCTAAGAAAAGTATGACTCCAAAAATATTTTATTTTCATAACTATTGTGGAACTTTTAAAACAGATGTAATAAACAATAATTTTAGTTAAAAAAAAAGTAATAAGACTCCAGTGAATAATTCATATTTATTTAATTTATTTTTGCGGAATTTGATATCATACACTCAACAGCTGTTCTGCAAATTCAAATTAATTTTTTCTAAATCACGTGTACTCATATCTATAAATTAAAGATAATTTTAAGTTAAAATTTTTTATTTATATATAACTAATAATACTTGCTAAACATTAACAAATCCTCAACTTTGGACTTATTTACTTGTTATTAATCCCTATGCAATCATATTTCACAACAACATACAGACCCACTTTCAACTGAAAAAAAAAAAAAAAAAAGATTTAATACTCAGAGATTTTTTTTCTTAAAAGTTGAAATCCATTAAGCTTTGAACCATAATTCAAAAATGTTAAACCCCATAAAAACTAAAATATAAAATATCAAACAGTTTCTACTGAGTCACTTTCAAAACGATAAAAGAAAGATTTATTAGACAGGCATTTTTTAGCTGGAAATTCGAAACCACATCAGCAAATCGAAAGGAAATGGCACTGTTTGAGTATTCATTACGATTTGAATGATAAATAAACCACTTTCAGTTTTCTTCCCAACCATACTCCATGACTCAGTACATTTGTCAACTGAAACTACGTCTTGTTTTGGCTTCAAAATAAAATCATTAACATATTTTTGTTGACATTAAAGATACGTTTTCGCATTACGCATGCCTTTTGAGGTTTAAAAGTCACCTAAGGTGTCCAGAAAGTAATAAGCGAATAATATTATTTAATTTATTTTCTGAATTCCTCAAATATTTTAATTTTTTGCGCTATTAAAGAATATATTTTTGTTTGGTGTTCACTTTATATGTGAATACTATTAAATGTTTTATATGAATTCCAAATTCTGTATCTTAAAGATGACTGAGTACAGAAAACGTGATTATTTTTGCTGCCGGTAGCGGCATGCACAGTAGCAACTGCAATATTCATAAATTGCATCAATGCAGTTCTGTTCTGATTGCAGTACATGACTAGTATTTTAATTAGAATTTTGATAAGTTTAGGCAAGCGTGTGGTGGGTGCATTTGATGGCAGTTAAACGTATTGCAATGAACTATCTTACAGAGTCGGATTTTACTTGATTGAAGCTGAACGTCAGCAACATATGAGACCCAAAAACGTGATTGCAACATTATTTATTGTTGCTTCTGCTACTGTGCAGCTACTAAAAAGCGTGTTTAGCCTAAAAACAATTTAACTGAAAGGTCTTTAACAATGCACATAATTTTAAAAATTGCAAAATAATTGTCATTCAGTTCGCGAGTTCATTTGTGTGAGTCTTTATGCTTTGCTTTTTCAGCAGATTTCATATTGTATGCAATGAGATTTCATACAAAACCTCACCTTCAGTTAGGTTTGTGGCACCAGGGCAGCAAATATTGTACATCTTCACATATTTATGCCATTTATTATTTACATAAACAGAAGTAGTTTTTTATTTAACTAAGAAAACAACGTTTTTATCGACAACATATTCACTTTATATGTTTTGGTAACTTAATTTACAATTCAAGTAGCGCTCAGATAAGACAGCAACTGTTGCTGGCGTCTGTCTAAATTTGCATGGAAATCATTGTATCGTATTCCGTATAGAGAATATTTTGGGAAATTCCATTATTCTAGAAAAATTTCATTATATTCCGGTAATATTTTCGCATTTATTGCGCATATTAATATATTTTATACATAAAATAAAAGCTTAGCAATTAAAATAAAGATTTTCTCTGCCGATAATTTTTAATTACTGCAATTTGATATGCTAATAAAAATTACAATAAAAACCATTTCATAAATAATGATTACCCTTTGCGTTTCTCTATATAGAGTCTTCAATCACTCAGTTATCATCTGCTATTAAAATAAATTATAAATGTTTATATAAGAACTGTAGTTTAGAAAACTATAATTACAGAAGAAATTGTTCTAGATATTGGAATAGTGACGACACCCTCTTACAATTTCTCATCTTTATATTCTAGCTTTGCTAACATTCAATTTGCATTTATAAACTTGTATCTAGAAGTTTATGCTGGAAACGAGCTGAACTAATTCTCAACGAAGTGCAAATAGATTTGTACTAATTTGAGATTCAAGCCGTATTTAAATTTTTAATATTTTTTAGTACTGTATTATTTGCATAGTAAAACAAAAAAAAAAAAACTTGAATTCATTGCTAATTTCGTAGTCACGTTTGATATTTACTTTACACCACATTTCAATTTTCTTATAAATTAGAAAAAAACTTATAAAAATAATTGAAAAAATATTTCCACATTTATAGATACTTCACAGTGTATGCATATATTTGTGAAAAATACACAGAGCTGGAAAAAAATCACTCAGCTAATATAGAAGTGATTTACAAAGTAGATTTTTTCATCATGATAACTCGAAACCGAAACTTACGACATTGGTGCCATGTACCCACAAACTGGTTACTCTGTGCAGTAAAGCAGAAAATTTTACACTTCACAGTATTGCCACACAATCACAATTCATTGTTGTAGTTAAAACTGAAATTTATTTGTTTATGAATTTTTCAAATTGGAATTTTACTGTGGGTAGGAAAAATTATTTATAATTTTTTAATATCTCATTAAAGATATTTGAAAGCTTATTAATTGTGTAGGAAGTAAATATAATATTAATTTGTTCAATTTTTCTATGCACTCTTGTATATTCCTCACTATCTCAAAACGTTGAGCACCTAGAACAACAGATACCCTTTTTTAAAATTAATTTATATTATATTTTAATATATTTAATTAAATTGTATAATTACAATACTTTAGTTATACACAAACCATGGAGTCTTTAATGATATCATTTCAAGATGTAGCTAAGGAAGCTAAATTTCAGTAGTTAGGAGTATTATATTATTTTTTAGTATCAATTATAATAGTTAAATAATTGGATCAATAAATATTTAGGGAATATTTACAAACTACAATTTTCAAATCGCAAAATTTCTGTAATTACAACTATTTAATTATAGAAGTCTTTTTTAGAATAGCTAAATAATTAGAATAATAAATATATATTGAAATGGGTGACCCTAAGTACCACACATAAGCCTTTAAATATATTAGTTGAATAAATAACTAAAAAAGATACAGCAGCTAAATATCAGTAGTTATAAGCATTAAATTGTTTTGGTATTTATTAGAATAGCTAAATAATTAGATTAATAAATATTTGGAGTATAATGAATTGGGTTGTACTAAGTACCACATAAAAACCTCAGCTAAAGAAGATAACTAATAAAGCTCCAGGGCTAAATTAAACGAGATTTTTTTTTAATTATTATACATTATATATATATATATATATATATATACGTATACATAATTACATATATATGATGTAATTTCAAAGCTTTATTTATTTCGGCTATGCTGTTGTTATATTAGATAATACTCTGCAAAATAGACTTACCATTAGTAAGTATCATTAGAATACAATGTCCATAATCACTAAAGGTATCAGAATATTCACATGATTCTCCTTAATTCTCTTCTCAAGTTTACCGACAACTAAGCTGCAGTACACCAAAAAGAACTTATAAAATGTTTAAATACAATACAATGTTTAAATAATATATAATTTATAATTTATAATAATTTATAATTTTTTCAGCACTTTTGGAAATATTTTAATGATTATAACTTAATTAATAAGGTTAAGTAGATATAGGGTTTAACCCTTTTATGGTTACAAAAGTAAACATAAATTAAACGAAATTCTGATTAAGATTTTTTTCTTATACTCTTTGGGATTCCAAATATGATAAGATATGGAATATATACAAATATCATTTAAATGTCTTTCATATAGCTTCTTATAGTGAAATTGGGACCTTATAATATACAATAAAAGAAAGTATTATACTGGATCCTTTTAAGACAGTTTTCGATGACTTACCGACAAATATTTGGTCAAAGTTTAGCTATAACTTGATGGAAATTCATTTATAAAGCGGTTAAAATTTGTCTACCTAAACCCAATCCTTTCCATAATCTCACAAAGAAAAGTATAGTGATGACAAGTGTAGTGATGAACAACACACATCACCAAAACGTAAAGTTACAATACCAGACTACCATATTTGAGCTTTTCTGCAGTTATTGAATTATAGATTATTTTATTAGTTTTACTCACTTTAAAGAACCAATTTATGTTTAGAACACAAAATTTTTAGAACATCATAATAACATTTCGTAATTTTTAATTTAAATATTTTTATACTTAAGATTTTTATTTATTTGTTTAAAAAAATAAAGTAAAACAATTTAAGCAGCTTAACTAAATTAACTCATTAATCATAACAGCTATTAATTTCTGAAAAACAAAAAAAATCCATTATCTTAAGCTCGTCTTATATTTATTATTAGTTTTGAATATCTTATTAACACTTTTTATATAATTTTAAACAAAAGTCAATATAAATTAAATGATGTTATGTGTTATTTTTCCATTGTGTTTTTCTGTTTTTTTTTTTTTTTGGTTTTATTTATATCGACAACCAAAATCAACACCATTACAAAAATCCAAAAAACAAAATGAATGTATCGTATTTACTGCATCCATACAACATCAAAACCATTTTGAAATCCAACCCAACCCAATCCAAACAACAACGGTGAAAAATTAAATGAATTGGAATGAATTATTTGTTTAAAATATTTGCAGCTGGGATTTTTTAACTTTAATCATCAGGTTTGTCACTTAAGTCTTTTGTTTGTAACACATTTGAAATGCACTGTAGTCAACATAGTCACTGTAATCACTGTAGTCACTGTACTCACTAAAACTGTTGCACCGCTATTGTCACATGAGTTGTGTGCTACTTTCTACAAAATTTTTGTATTATTTTCGAATTTACGAAGATTTCAACACTTTGCACCTTTTCACCATCACAGATTACCAACCAACATCTACACCAGCACAAAATTGCATATAACACGTCTGCATAAATTTCGCAAAGCCTTCACTTATTTTGCGCTTATAGCTTATAGCTTTTAAACAAGTCACATTTTATTGCATACACATCTGAGTATCTTTTATTATCTCTCGTTTATTTATTTTATATTTTATTTATTATTTTACGATGACAATTGTATGTTAAATAAAGTTGAGGGCATATTCATCGCATGAGCTCAACAAACAAACCAAACACGCACCTTCGTCGTTGCATCTTCAAAACAATTCCGTGTAGTTTTCACACATCTCCAAAGACTGCGAATTTCAAAGGAGTGTCAAGTCGCGCCGCCGCAAACTCAGTGCCAATTGTGTTAAATTTCGCATTTGCGAGTAAATGAAGTTTGTTTGCTTTCATAATAACATTCTAAACATTTGGCAAATAAATATACAATTTCGTACGGATTTTGGATTTTTCAATAATTTGTCAGTTACTTTTTGGATTGCATAACAAACGCGCTATTATGCTTTATGGAACCCAAGATTTGACGTGGTTTTTGCAAGTGCCTTTGCCTTTCTTGAAGTGTTGACTTTAAATTCCGCACTGCTGCCAAAAAAGCTTACGAAATTTGCAATATTACGTTTGTTAATTGAAAAATAGCTTTGTTGATATTATATTATTTTTTTTCCATAATAATTTTCAATATGAAATTGATTTGACGAAATTACACAACACAACACAACACAAATTCAAATTCAAATTCTACAATCGAACAACAATAAAAGAATACGTTGAGGTAATCGCCAATTTATACTGCCACCAATAAAATTAACAGCATTTCAACAATTAACAATTAAATTTTTTGTATGCTTTCAATAAATTCCTTAGATAACATGAATAAATGTGCATATAATATATTTATGACTTTTATATATATAACTTATCTGAACTACCGTTGAATTGAACAATTGAATTTAGCATCTCAGTATTTATTTTGTGCAAATATGCATGTGATTAAATCGCTTCCTGGCTAACACATCTTTCAATAAATCATTAAACTAAAATTTTATTTACATATACACTTTTCATTTACAAAATTTTTATAAAAATAAACAATCTAACAATCTAAAGATTATTAAAGATATATCAAATAAAATATATCACTATTGATATATGTAACACTATACAAAGCAATTAAAATATTGGCAAAAAAATATTTAATTCAAATATAATAAATAATTAAATCTAAAATAAATGAAAAAAAAAAAATTTTTAATACAAAGACTTTTTACGTCAAGGGTAGTATTGAATTAATTTCGCGCGAAAAATTGGCATTAAACTTTATAATTTTTTCTTTCAAAGTTGTAAACAAACAGCATTAAGTCTGGTTGAAATAAATTGGCATCACTTTTAAAACAAATAAATAAAAAAAAATTCTGAAATACAACGACTTTTCACGTAAAGTCTAGTGTTAACATCAATTTCGCGCGAAAAATTAACCAAAAAATCGTAATTGACCATTAGCCGTAATTTATTCTTTCAGAGTTGTAAAAAAACAGCATTAAGTCTGGTTGAAACAAAATTTCATCACTTTTAAAACAAATGAATAAATAAAAATTCTTAAATACAAAGACTATTAAGTATTAACATCAATTTTGCTCGAAAAATTGACATAAAATTCCATATAAAACAGTACTACAAAAATTGTGTCATTAGTCGTTATCTTTACTTTCAGAGTTATAAAAAAACAGCATAAGTCTGGTTGAGACAAATTGGCATCACTTTTAAAATATATTAAATGCTTATTTTTGACATATTGATTTTGTTGATTACAATATCAAATATAAAATTTGTAAAGACTAAAAATTAATTAATTTAAATAAAAGAAAGCAAAATGAATATTAGGAGGGCAATGGTTAGCATATTTATTTTATATATATAAATTAATTTATTTATTAATGTATTTGTATTTATTAGTAATAATTTTATCATTTATATGATAAACGTTTTCGCTGGCGCACCAGGTCTTCTGCTATTTTGTGTATTCCATGCCAACCCATATATTAGATACTAGAAGTTCTCTCACTCAATATCTTTCTACTAACCAGAAAAGTCAAAAAAATATAAATGACAATTTAATACCTTTCAAGACGACAACTTACAATATAAGACAGACCCTTCCTAATATTCTTCATTGAAGAGTTCTTAAAATCTGATAAGAGTATAAGCTACTATCTCAGTATTGTTCTCATGGCCAAGATAACACCGGACAGTCACCAAAAATATGACTAGAAAACTTATTCCCTTCGAGGCAGAGATGACATACTGTCATATGCAATAAACAGATCCTGTCGAGATGGTAATTTAGGCCAAAATTTCTCCTTTTCTAAATTATTAAGAAGAGTCATACTTATAATGAAGACCAGTTCCTTAAACTGACAGTTTTACTCATTTACTTGAAGTAGTCTATTAACAACGGAATTTAGTTTTCTTCTAAATTTCAATTTGATTCTTAGTTTTTGAACGATTAATTTTAAAATAAAGCTTAAAATAAAGTTTTTCATAAAGGATGGAAAAAGAAAGAAACTATTAGTAGAAGTTACCATATATATATATATGTATTTACTTTATTAACTCTTCATATTTAAATTTAAAAAAAATAACCTTTATAATATTGATTATAAAAGTTTTCTCTTTATGCACATACATACTTTATTAAATATTCAGATAGGAGTCATCAATCTTAAAATGTACATTTCGTTTCGAATACTAAAATTTTAACCTAAATTTTAAAGAAATTAAAGGAAAGTCTTTACCAAACGGAAGTCATAAGTCTGTAGCATTTAAGTTTATATATTTTCAATCCATCATTACTACTACCATAAACTCAATTAACAGTATCTATGAGAATTTTGTGTAAGAACAAAATTGATTAATGCACATCCGCATTTGATGTGGTATTGGTATAGAAGCACACATGACGTACATTGTGCTAACAACCACAACAAGTTAGCCAACTTCTTTAGAATGCCAAGCGTCACTAATCAGCGAAACCAACCTGTCACTGGAAACACTATAGTTTTTTATATGCATTTCGTTGCATTTTTATTTAATGCAAATTAGTTGAGAGCTTGAGCTACCTGAAGCATTACAAGCTGAAGCAGGAAATCACTTGTTGGCATTTACCAATCAATGTTGTGGTCACCGTGACAGCAACCATAAATCCTAAAGCAATTATTATCTTAACAGCAAAATACTTAAAGAATTTTAAATTAACTGCAATTAGTAAAGCACATCAGTTCTCTAAAAATATAAAATCTCTTTTTTTTTTCAAAACAAATTTTACAGAACTTAACTTTAGGAATGTTAAAATGGTAGTAAATATTTTCTTTAAATAAATATATAAAAATATATATATGTAAAAAAATAAGTCAGTAAACCTTAAACATATATAATGAAATAAGATAAATAATAAAAATCTATATATCAAAAAATATATGCAACATTATTTGCCTCTACAAATAGAATAGTATTGAAATTTAACAATTAAATATAAAAATATAATTAATTAATTCAATTATTCTACAGCTAGTTTATGATTTCGTTCTAATATAAATACAGCAAGTGAATTTTTTAATAAAACTTTCAAGTACGGCTTTGGGTCAGTTGGCAGGACACGAGTTCGATTCCTGGTACTTGCAGTCTCAAAAAATTATTTACGAATTATAATTATTGACAAATAATTAAATACAAGAACTATTTCCTAGACCATTGATGATGGGTATTTGGCAATATTCTAAACAGCTGTATGATCAGGCAAAAATTCAATTAATTAAAATAATATAAAATAAAATTTTGTTGTTGTAGTTTCACTATTGTTCGAAAAATCCTCATTATAAAAAAATAAAATACAAAATAAAAATAAAAATACAAGTAAAAATAAATAATAATAAAATATATGCAAATCACAACCAAAAACAAAAATATTTTGAAAAACAAAAATATTTGTTGCTTTCTAAAATTTCACCTTAAACTTAACTTGAACTTGAGATACGAACGGCGAATTTCTTTTGATAACGTTTTCGAAATTTTAAAACAATTTCGTTGTCTCAGCATTAAGTAACAAAAAAAAATATAATATATAAACTTAAGCTGGCAAGTAGAAACTATCCACAAAATTGATGAGTTCAAAATAAAAATAATTATTAAATACGAAATTGTCTCACTGCACTTCGTTGCTTGTAGAGTGCACTTTGCTGCTTTGTTGCTTTGTTGCAACAATTAATGTGGCGGACAGACACTCTGCCATGGTGACACCATTTCAGTTAGCATTATTAGTTTTTTTTATTATTGCACATAAATTAACATTAACAATTTGCATTAACGATTCGCCAGTTTTTTATTGCATCTTTGAAATCATTTTTCGCAGTCATGATCTTGTCATTTTTACGGCAGCGCATTGACTTCACTCGAGCGTTAAGGTTGATTAGTTTATGAGTCTCAGTTTACATTATTTGTACTGCTTCTCTCGCTATTGCTTTTTAGTGACTTTGAATTTCAATCTTTACATTAAAATACGAAATCTTAATTTTTATTTAACTACAAAATATTAACAAAAACCTAACACATTTTGTAGCTGCATTATGACTTTTCTCGGCTTTAATTTCTATTGTCATGTTTTGCAAGGTTAAAACGTGGTATTCGATTGCTTTTTAAAGGTTACACTTAAATTACACTTCAAGTAAAATTTGTGTAGTTACATCTTTTTAGTTATTGCATATGCTTGTAGTTTAAAAAAAAATTAACTTTTTTCTATATGTGAATAAATTTTTATCTAAATTTTTTTTATATATAATTTTTACAGGCCTACAAGCGTCAATCGAATTCAGTGAAAATCGCCAAAATCACTGCTTTTACGATTATTGTATCGTCCTTTGTATTGGGCTTCTTCATTTTGGCTTCCTCGTATCTGCAAGCCAAAGCATCATGCGATCAAGTACAGGCATTAGATTCTGTATTGGAAAAGGAGCTCATGTTAGAAACTTTGCAGCAAGTCAATAAGGTAAGTTTTTATTTAACTGTTATTTCTAGTTAATAATTAATAATTATTTCTTTATTGTTATTATTATTTATTTAATAATTTTTTATTGAAACTAATAAATTAGGCATCAAAAATTATATAGAATAATGTCGACTTATATAAGAAGGATATTAAAATGGATATGAAGGATATTGAAGGATATTTTTTAAATTTATTTTTTTAGTTCCTATATTAAATAATATTAAAAAAACATTGAACAATCTTATTGAGCTGCTCCGTAAGAATATCAGTGTTGTGGTAGCTTTATTGCCAAGTCATAGCGTTTTAGGAGCTAAATAGATTATTGAGTGAACTATTAATTAATAATACATAATTATAAAATATTTAATTAAATTATAATTTAGTTCCTATATTAAATAATATTAAAAAAAATCGAACAATTTCTTTGAGCTGCTCCGTAAGAATATCAGTGTTAGGGTATACGTTTATTGCCGGGTCATAGCGTTTTGGGTACTTAGATAGAATATTGAATGAATTAATAATTCCTGTCACAATTGTATAAAATACAAAAAGGTGTCGTATATCTGTGCAATGGCGATTAATCATGCAATCAAATTACTATTTACAATGAAAACCTCCCTTTAAATCGCCTTTTAACCTTTGCTGGGAGCTCAACGTGATTTTGGATCTCCTGAGTTTTATTCGGTAACATAATGGATCTAAGTGGATTCTTAAAATCGCTGGTATAATCTAATTTATGATATAAAAATAAGAATTTAGGAATTACTGTCTATTTAATATGATAGAATTAAATTGTATCAGTTAAAACATTCATAGGCCTATTATTCAGGGATAATGTAATTTATAATTAAATTATTATAAAATTTTTAAATATTTTTAAATATTTGTAATATTTTTTAAATGATATTATAGCAAGAGTTGCGTCTTTAACATGGTAGAACTATTTGGTTTCTAATATATTTAATTATATGATAGATGCAATTGAAAATATCTAGCAGAAATCAATTAATAAGTTAGAAATATAATAATATAGTTTATAAAATTGTTATTGAATTATTATGATATGATAATATCGATTTTGTATACATACTGTATTATGATCCAATTACTGGGTGTTCTACAAACACATTTACTTTGACATTAGTATTTGAAAAGATCTTATATGAACTAATATGCATTCAAATCAGATTAGTAGACTATATTATCTTTATTATTAAAAATATAATAGATAATAGTAAATGTTTTATTATTTTTAATTTAATCCAATCCTTAAAATTATGTTCTAGTACTGTGCTATGAGGTACAAATTTCGATGATATATTAGTTATAATTTTTATAGTAAATTTTTTTTAAAAATATGGAGCTAATTTCGATTAAATATCAGGAATAATTTTTATATTGAATATTTATAAAAATATACAGTTAAAATATTTAAAGAGAGATGTAAAAAAAATTTGAATATTTATATCTTATTAATTATTAGTACTATTTATTTATATGCCTGTAATTTTATTTAAATATTAATATCTGTTATAGAAACTATACAAATAAATAATGTAAAATTTTAAAATTTCATAATGATAAAAAATCAATATTTATTCAACCATATAATTATGTTTTGCTATTTTTCAAAATTTGAAACTAAAAAAAATATTTTTTGTGATTTTAGACTAACAACTTGAAATAAATTCTAAAAAAAAAAAAGCATTCATAAGTCCATACTATAATTAGTACGTGTATAATAGCAAATGGCCCAGAAAGAATTTTCATATTATACATGCTATGTATATAATAAGTACCTGCAATAACAAAATTTATTTTGAAATAATAGCTCAGAAACTAAAATTTTCATTTACAAAAAAAATTACTGAAAATTAAAAATAATTACAGGAAATTGTCCACATGTGCGTTGAACATGAAATATAATTTTAAAAAAAAATTATTAAAAAATCTGTAATAGTTACGTTAAAATATCAAAGTTCAAAAAGTATTATTTTTTGATGGAATTTTTTTAGTGCATGTGTGTCTGATACTTGTAATTAATTGACATTAACAATTATATAAAAATGTGTGTTAATCTTTTATATTAATCTTTTATATGTATTAACATTTTTGCTTAATTAAAGTTCAACATTAAATTAGAACAAAAAGTTCTAGATAAAGACTATTTGACTAAAAACTTAAATAACGTTTTCTACTAAATTCATTTTTAAACAAAAATGAATATAAATTTAATATATATAAAAAAAAATTAAATTATTATAAAAATCTTTTATGAATTTTTGAATTATTACTAATCAGAAATATTATTTAAAATAACATAATGAAAAACTTTTACTGCTGACAATTTTTACAACTATATGGCATTTTTGCATTAGTGCTATTGTATAAAAATATATAAATAATTAGTTACAAATGTTTTAATTCTTTTCCATTTAAATTTTAAATATTAATAAATAATTTTTTCTATAATATTATTTTAAAAACTATTAAGCTTTTGCATTAACTTTTAAGTCAATTAACTTTACTTTTGTTTTTATTATTGAGTATTTATAAATGTTTATACATATCATGTATTCGTTATTTAAATGCATTAGCTTTCATAAAAATTGTGTTTTTCTTTGTATATATGCATATACATATATTTTTTTATTTCTAAAACCTTTAAATAACAAACAAATTATTAACAGCTACTTAACTTAAAACAATCAAATAATCTCTATATATAATGTATTTCATTATATATAGAGATAATGAAATCAATAAAACAATTGTTTTTATGTCATTTTTCCTAAAAGGTATGGGAGTCATCACTAAGGGGGTTATTTAAACCAATTTAAATATGTTATATCTCTTCAGTTCAAAGAAAAAAATTTTTCTCGTCTTCTTTAAATTAGCGTTTTAACACATCGCTTTATAAGGGATTTGACAATACTTACAATAAACTACTACTATTATTATTATTATTAATGAAGTGGGGAGTACAATACACCTCGACTCAGATTGTCAATTGTACTAACCCTTGCTATTTCAATTGTTCATCAGGTTGTTAATGAACTTTATAGTACGTTTCCACTGGCTTCGTTAGACCAGTTAACGTACTTGAGATTCAAGTAATTCAAGCAATCTAAGCTAAGTTAAATGGTCTAACGAAGCCAGTGGAAACATACTATTAGCACCTTTCACAGCTTTAAATTGTTCCATATGTTATGAAGCCCAATAAGTATGTGTCCCGGATGAAAAAATCTGCTAAATTTAGAGTGTTCACAGATAATGTATTTAAAAATTTCAACATTCATTTCACAAAATAAACACTACAAAATAACTAAAATTGTACTAATACAATGTAAATTTTTAAATAAAAGTTTTGTACATAATTTCTCGTATTTTTTTTTAAAAAAACTTCTTTATGTTTCTAAAAACGAAAAAAAAAAATTGAAAAATATAATCTTCAATCTAATCTATGATTTATTTATAAAACTACAGGTCATTGTATGTATTGCAGTAAGCTTAACCTTAAGGTGCCGCTTGCAGCTGCTTAAGTAATTGAATTAATAATTAATTATAGTCATATATACTAATTATTAACGAAAATTAAAACATTTTTATTAACATATAACTATATAATTTAGTTTATAATCGTTTTATATTTTAAGCTCAAGTATTTCAAATACAAGGCGTGTTCCCAAGCCGGTTAAAAAACCAAAATTCAAATAAAATGGCAAATTAATTTAGTACCAACTTAAAATTTTATTAAATCAATAATGAATATATCTAATTGATTTAATCTTCAATATAGTTATGAGTAATGTAATTAATACTCGTATTTTAAAATTTTAATGCATTTTTATATGCAAGTGTTACATACTTTTACAATTGTAGAAAATTGTAAGTATACCTGGTTACACGGTGCATTGCATGCATAATAATTAAATTTTTTGAAATACCATACTAAATATAATAGCAATAATTGTTTATTATTTCGTTATTTTTATTACTTCGTTAATAAAAAAAAATTGATTTGCATATGCTTTCAAAAACTATTTGTTATTTATTTTAATTTCCACTTTGCAAATCACATTAGGTGTTCCCAAACCTTATCTTACCATTTCATGTGAATTTCCTAGCTTACCTATAATTTATGAATTTTATTATATTTATTAATAATTTTTTATATGGATCGTTCAATATTTTTAATAACTATTAATAAAACTGACTCATAGAGTCATATGAATACTTAAAAATTAAATATTCTTAATAATTAAGACGCAAAAACGAACCATGGTATTGGATATATATATATATATATATGTCTTGCATACATTATAATTAATTAGCTAAATCTAAGGTAACAGGAAACTCAGAAAAAGTCTTTTGAATAATTAATTGATTTGGATTAAATTTGTAAGTAGTGTATGTAATATATATATATGTTTAAATGTATATGTAATGAAATGCTATTTAATTTATAGTTGATAGGATTATTGAATTCATTTGATCATTGAATGAATAAGTTCGAATATATTCAATTATAAGAAAATAATTAATTCTAAAGCAATTGGATGTAAATACTTATAAGTAAATTGCTGCTCTATATCGATAGCAGATGTAAGGTGTCAGCACTTTTATGGCTGAACGATTGCATCATTACAAAATATATTATTTATTTGATTTATGATATAGATTTTTAGATCGCAATAGCTTTTTGATGTACTTCTTTGTATGATTTTTGAATATTGGAATGAAATAAAATTATTTTGTATAATATATAAATAAAATATATATTGTATTATTTAAAAATTAATTTTTATTGTATACATTATTTTAATTATAACATGAAGCATAACATGATCTTCGTACATGAGTAGCGCCGGGATATTAACTGGTCGCTCCTCTTAAGTTACGTACAGAATTTTAGTTAATAAATGTGTAACAATTAAGATAATTACTGAAAATGATAACTTATAAGTAAAAAAATATTAAGTTTATAGTTAAATGAGTAATTATAGTAATTAGAAGCAATTTTCTATACTAAAATTTTAATGAGTTTTCTTTAAATAGTAAATGTAAGAAGCTGAGATGCATTTGTGTTATTCTTTTTAATTAAACATTCTGTATTTTATTTCGAACATACTATAAATAATAAAATATAATGCATATAATACAGTTTAATAGAAAATGTTTATAGAAAATGTTTTTATGAAATGTTTCTAGAAAGTGTTTATAGAAAATTTTCATAGAAAATGTTTAGCTAGTCCAACTGCAATTGCTTGCCTTAAACGGGGCGTCAATTTGACAGAAAGCACTTAAAATATATCAGACTTTTATTGTTAGCAAGTAATTTCAAATTTTGCGACAGTTGGTATTACTATTGTGCACATTATAGAAAATAAAAATCAATAAAATAATATATTATAAGAAAATAAAAACTTAAAATATTGTTTTATAGCTTATTCAATTGCTATTAATCATAAACTATTAAAATGCACTAACCATAAATGCCTCAAAGCAGTTTTAAATGAAAGTGAACTTGAAATAAGCAAGAAAGTTAGTATACAAAAAAATATAATATATTATGACTATAAAATTAAATAATATTTTATTATTTTGTAAAGTTTCTCATATTAGAAAAAGTCCAAAATTTCATTGTATAAAACCAAATGCAATCAAGGGAAATTCCGCTCATTAAAGTCCAAATGTCAGACTATAAAATGCATAAGCAACATGCAACATGCAATCTAAACTGATGCGGTGCATTAACATCTTTGCTACAGTTGCTCTACTGTCACTTCAGCAGCAACAACTATCAACGTTTTTCATAAAAAATGGTTGGTTTTGTATTGCAGTAACTAAAGTGAAAGCATTGCAACTTTGCAATGCTTCATTAGATGCAACGCAATCTACAGAAATCCAAAAAAAAATAACAAAATAAAATTTTGCAATATTAACAAAGGCTATGCAACACTATTTTAAAATAGCAAAAAAAAAAATTATATCCAAAAAAAAAATATTAAAATGTATAAACAACAAATTGCAAACATAACAGATATTCATTTAGTGTTGTTGTTGGTGATGTTGTTGCTGATATTGTGCTTATTAAAACAACAATAAAAATTTTTATATAGAAATGCCAAAGAGCAGTGCCTTCAACGAACCGCAACGCACTGAACTGAACTGTAAAGAAATAAAAATAAAAAATGAAATGTAAGATATAAAATATAAAATGTGAAACGTAAAACGTATAAATGTACAAATGTATGTAAAAATTGCAATTTGTGCTTTTGACATGTTATTGTTATTGTTGTTGTTGTTGCTGCTGCTGCTGTGCACACCGGTGCATGGTACCGCTTTTGTGAAAAAAATACATAAATCTATATAAAACGTACACTGTGATACTAAAAGTAAATAAAAAAAATTTTATGAACAATTTTTAACAAATAGCAACAAATAAATAAATGAACATAAAGCCAAAGTTGCTTTAGCAGCAAATACAACAACAGCGCTAACTACACTAGGCATTGGCAACATAGCTACTACGCTGGCTGGTGGCGGCATAGCTCATGTGTATTGCAGTCGTAAATTTCTCATGCATAGTCAATTGTTGCAAAGGCAAGTTGCTTGTTTAAGTCTTTCGATTTGAAATTATTCGATGGAAAATCTTTAATACATTTTTATAATGTTTAACATAAAACATTAAATATAGAGGAAGCTATATAATTAAAAATAATAAAAATAATTTTAATTACAACTATTAGACTTTAATGGTATAAAATAAAAAGAAATAAATTTGTATTGATATGTATTGTAAATGTTTATAAATAATAAGAAAATCTGTAATACTGGTATTTGAAATTTACTAAAATTTCTTTAATTAAATTATATATCTTTCAAAATAAATTTAATTTTAAAATGTAAAAATATCAACAAGAAGAGTTTAGCCTAAGAAACAGAACTGCCTGACCTACAATATATCATTGGTAATAAAAATTTTAATATAAAAATAATAAATATAACAAAGTAATCAAATATTGTTTTAAGTTATTAGAAGTAAACAATATATATTATGTTATAGCTAATTGATCAATGTTAAACAATAATTTACTTTTTAAATTTTTTTAAAAATTTTTTGTTATTACCAATATTTTGACTATAGTCTTTAGACATCTTATACATAAATAATACATAAATAATTGTATATATAATAATATTACAAACATTTGGTAATCAGATTACGGTAGTTCGGTACTTTAACTTTGTGTTTAAAGATGGCATCAAAAATTATGCCATAAAGTATAGTTTTCCGTCGCATCATTATAGTCTGACATCAGAAATTATCCCATAAAGTGCACTCTTCCCCCGCAGGTTATTACAGTTCTCAGTGTAGAAGAATAATAACTAGGCTATCAAAATTTGATTTTTGACTTTGTGCAGAACAAGAGCATGATCTTTATTAGTTTGTAGTATAATTGTAATTTAATCTCGAATTTCATTATTATATATAATAGATAGAATATTTATAGTTTATATACAAACTATATAATAGTTTTTATACCTATATATTAAGAATAACAGAAAAACTAACAATATTTGAAGTAAAATTTGCTGAAATTCTAAATAGTCAAGGTACATGCAAAGCAAAATTTAACTTAAATACTATATTTCAAGAATTATTCTATATTATTCTGTTAATTCAGAAAAAGTCAAACTTAATAGTCTTAGAAGTCAGTAAGTTTAGCTACACTGTGTGCCGATTTGTAGAGAATTAAAATTTCTGTTCCATTTTTTTTTCGTAATTAAATAGTCCACTAATTAAAATAACTAGAAAGTTCTTATTATCATTATCCATATCTGATTCAGTGTCTAATGACAGGGAGGAGACCTCTTTCATTTATGGGTCTAATTTATATTCACCACATGTTATTGGGTAAAAGATACAAGATAAAAATTAATAATAATAATTGCAAGACAATAATATAATGAAACTCTATAATGAAAATTTTTATATACTATTTTTCAAAAATGACTACTTAATATAACTTATTATAAAAGGAATCATCTACCCTTAATAAGTTATTATAAATATCAAAAATCAAAAGATATCAATATAATGATTTTTTAATATTTTTTGTATATCATTTATCAATAGTTTATAAAATGAGACATATCTTCACATAATATCTACAAATAATTTTTTTTTATTTAATTTATATTATCAAAGATATATGAACTTTATATACATTTATAGCACACATCTACTTGCCTCCATTGCCGCTCTAAATTTAAAGTTTAAGCTTTTAAAAAAATTAGTTTTCTTTACATAATTTTTAAGCCAATTTTGTAGCAATTGAGTTTATGGATTGTACCCGGTTTATACGTAAGACAGTAGTTGAATTTCGATATACATATAAGTATAAATGAGTACATTCATAAATACATAAAAACTATTAGAATTATGTAATTTTTAAAAATATTTATGTGCTAACGAAATTGTCTATAATTATGAAAGAATATATTTCTTGAAATATCCATAAATATATTTATAAATATGTATTAGCATTTATAATATATACAATGTGTATATATAAAAATAAAAACAATAATTAAAACTTTGTGTAGAAATCAAAAGAATAGCAATATTTATAAATGTATTTTGAATAACTTAAAAACCTAAACTTTTTATTTTTATTTTAATTAATTTTTTAACTAAATATTTTTGCAAACTTTGTACGCTTTTTGCATTTTAAAATATTTTGTAATTATTTCGCTCTTTCGTGTGCTTAAAATTTATTGTTAGTTTCGAAGGAATTGATTGTGTCAGCGACAAAAAAGCGGCAACGTCTACTGATGCTATAAAGATAGCTTCAGTATATCCACAAAAACTGTTTTTATTTACAAACAATTATAATATGAATGAAAAATTATTCTAAATGCGATTTTTATTTTGCAACTAAAAAACAAAAACTTTACTGTTGACGTCAATTCGAACTCTAATGGAAGTTTTTGAGTATCTTTTACGCATTTTAATTTTAAATGATTTGACATGTGATTGTTAAGATATTATAGAATTAAATATACTTGTTGACTTTAAAGTAGTTACTTAAGAAACACTATATAAACAGTTTACTGATAATATATTAATGTAATTATTTTTAAAGTATGTCTTTGTGGCAATATATTTTAAGTACCAGGACTCGGAGGTGTATACGTGTACAATGGGTGTCAACCAATTCAACCCAACTAATACTAAATGAATTTTTTGATAAACTTATTAGGTATTTATTAGGTATATGATTCACACATTAAATATTTTTATTTTATATAACTATACAATTTAACAGAACTCTATTTACATATATATTACGGATTCTTAGTGATATCAGATATTAGCTGATAGAGTAGTTGCATTGTGTATCTAGTATATGTGATATTTTTTTAGTAATCAGTAGACTGTTCTAAGATTTTAACATTCCAGACATCTCCCGCATTTATCGTCGTTAGCCCAGTTTATTTTTTAAGCATATGTTTTAATGGAACAGTATCCCATCTTTTATTTTAATTTAAAGCAATGGAAAAGAAATTTTCACGTTTCACAAAAGACTAAATAATATTAAAATTAATGTATTTTTGTTAATGTCAGATTTTTCAATATTGTATAATTTTTTTATATACATAAGAAATAACATATTGCTTACATTCTGTGAGATTGTAAATATAGTCGATTCCAGATAGAACGGATTATGTATTATTAACTATATATGCTAAATTCCGTATTTGGACAGTAAATTGTTGATGTTTTTAATTAAAATGATCAAATAATTATAATAATAAATCAATTTAAATAAAAAATAATATGTTATGACGAAAACAAAACTAGAAGGGTTCGAACAGTAAGTAAGAAACAACAATTACAAAAGTTTTATTAATTTAAATAAAAATAATATTTAAGATTGATTTTTTTGGCGAATGTAACGCGTAATTTTACTTAATTAATTTATAGTCTATATATAATTTCGTTGTACTGCAAACCTATAAATTATATTACATTAAATAAAAATTATGTCTTTATAATGAAAGATTAATAAATAATATGTTATATTAATATATTTATTTGTGTTAACTAGTACACTAAGAAATTATTTCGATTATGACTTTTTTCTTAATTCTCTATATAATTAAATATCATTAACAGTTTTTATTATAATTCTTCATATATACCAAATATATTTTTGATGTATTTGGTATTAAAAAATTTAAATAAATTTTATTAATTTAAATAAATTCAAATAATAAGTTATATTAAAGTATTTATTTATCTTTGCAAAATAGTACAATAAAAATTATTTAGATTATAGGTATTGTCTTCATTATATGATTATATATGTATATAAAGCAATTTTTATAGCTATATAGCATACATAGTATTAATTATAATTATAATTGTTATATGTATGCTATATATTTATAAAAGCTGCTATATATATAATCAGTAAATGAAGATAATACCTGTAATCTAAATAATTTTTATGGTACTATAATAATTATAATAATATTATAATATAATAATATATAATTATTATTATAATTAAATTTTTACCTAATCCTTAAATAATTCTAGGTGTTTTTATACTTTCTAATTTTTGGTATTATTTACAAATATTGTATATGACCGTTTCTTATTTAGAGGCTGCGTTATATTCTGTATTCGATAGTCAACTCTAAATATAAATAATGTAAACCAAAAAATAGTATATAAGAAGAACTTGAATATATTGAATTTACAAAATAAATTTTAAAAAATAAAACACTTTCAACAATATCTGAAACTTTAAATATCATAAGTAGAAGTTCCTTTGATCTCACAATTAATTAAAACATTTTCACATGAAATCAAGAGAAAAAACACAAAATATTATGCAGTTCTTATATAAAACAATTTAACATTTTTATTTTACAATAAAAAAAAACCAAAATTAATTACTTAATTTACTTAATTGTTATTGTACGTGCTTAAACAAATTATCTCATTCAGAAAAGACAAGTACCTAAGATACAACACAATTTTTACAATTAAATTGTTTGTATGTCAATTAAGAACAGCAAAACCAGTGTAAGTTTTAAACAAAATAACAAAATAGCAAAATAAAAAAGTACAAATGTATTGTAGTATAATTTAGTTTTTTTGTTTTTTTTTGTTTTTGTTTTTGTATCTATAAACTTAAACAGTCCTTGAGATTTGTAGTTTTCAATGTCTTTGAAGTTGAGACTGGAAGCAATTCACCGATAACAATTCTTAATGAGTTGGCCGCACTTTTCATTTGTCGGATTTTTTCGAATTTGTCGGCATATGTGAGTATATGCAAAAGCCGTTTCCAAAAGTCTTTGAAATGTAAAATGAAAGCAAGATATTTTTTTTATATTCCAAAAATTGTTCAATAAAAAACAAGACGGTAGCTAGTAGCTACTCATTTATATGTGAAGGTCAAAATACACAAATAAACAAAAACTTAAGTTTTATGGCATCAATTTTCATAAATCATTTAAGTGTTAAAATTTTATTTTTGTTTAACTTTTTTAAAAATATATAACTGAATATCTGAGCTCTAAGTTTTTTTTTATATATGGAATAATATAGTATTAAAA